GAGGAAGCAGGAAGGAGGCAGGAGGAAAGACACGGGAGGAGGCAGGACGCCGGAAGGAGGGAACAGAGGGGGAGCAGGAGAGACAGCGGAGGAGAGGGCTCCTCCTCCTAATCAACTCCTACCTATCCATATTACGTCCTCCATCATCACTAAATAATCTACTAAATCATCCCCCTCCTCCTAATAATCCTCATCATCATACTCGTTACATCATACTCCTCAGACTCCTCGCGCACACATCATACACTCAGACGCATCACCGCACACATCACATCACACATACTTCCTCCTACATACTAATCCTAATTAATCCTAACTCAAACTCCGCCTCAGATAATTACCCGACTACTTAATCATCTTCAATCCGCCTCATCCCATCAACTACCACTCCTCCGCATACTCATACTCAGCCCTCCTCATCCTGCATCTCCTACTCAAATACTAAAACCTCCGCATCCGCCCTCATCCTTCCCTCGCATTACTCCTCTCCTATGCCTCCTCTCTCCCCCTGTACCAACCCTTTCACCTCCTCTTCACCAGGGCCCCCCCCCCCCCCCCAGCTTGCGATCGAGGCCTGCTTGCCGGGCCCAGAGGCCCGGCGAGGGCCCCCTGGAGGCGGCAACGGCCCAACACCCGCCGCTCCAGTTGTTGTCGGGGCGACGGATCTCTGGGGTCGACTGCGTGCGTTGCCCCGCCTTTTTGGGCTGTTCGTCGGCGAGCCGCCGCGCGGCCAGGTGCGTCGGCGGCGGCGACGGGTGTGAACAGCCCAGGGGGGCGGGCCAACGCACGCACTCGACCCCAGAGATCCGACGCCCCGACAAAAACTGGAGCGGCGGGTGTTGGGCCGTGGTCGGCCTCCAGGGGGCCCTCGCCGGGCCTCGGGACCGTCAAAGAATTAAGGCCTCAGGACGAAAAAGCCGGCCCTGGGGAAGAGGAGGAAAGGGGGGGTAGGAGGAGGAGGAGGAGGAGGAGGAGGTGGAGGAGGAGGAGGAGGAGGAGGAGGAGGCCAGACCTCTGGGGGCCCACGCATCGCAAAAAGTGGAGCAGCCGGACGTCTGGGCTCCCTGCTTTCGGGGGGGAAGTCTTCACTGCTCCGTCAATGAACGCCCCCCTGCCTCACTCGACCGGCGACCGACCAGGAGCAGTGCCACCCCACCCCCCCTTATCATCCCTGTCGTTCTTCCGCCTCCCTTCTTTGCTTTCGGGGAGGGTTTTCCACTGCCCCGTGTCAATGAACACCCCCTGCCTCACTCGACCTGCGTCCGACCAGGAGCAATGCCACCCCACCCCGCACCCCACCCCGCCCCATCATCCCTGTCAAAGAACAGCACAGAGGGCACGCTTTCTGGTGCACCATAGGACTTCCCCGAACAGTGCCGATCGGAGGAAGGGGAGTAGCACGGCAGCGCTTTCGACCGCATGGGGCCGCAGACGCTGCCTGGAGCGGCAGACGCATCGAATGTGCCACAGGAGTGGTGGCCACGCCCCCCCGATCGAAAGGACTATCAAGCCTGCTCGGATGCTGATGTGTTTTGTGTGCCAAGCGCAGGGGTAGCTTTCGCCCTCCAGGGGCGCTTCGGCCGAAATGGCACAGCACAGAAGCATCGGATGCAAGGTCGCTCGCATGAGACGTCTTTCCCGAACCTGGCAAACCAGGCAGTGGCAGGGAGGGTATGGCCACAGTTTTATTATTATTTTTTAAAAACAAAAAAAAACTGTGGCCCCACAGCGCCACGATGCACGTCGAGGCAGAGTGCGCAGCCGTGCTCGGGCGCCCCGCGAGCAGCGACGCCTCCGAGGTCTCTGGGCCCGCCCGGTGCGCGCGCGCCCCCGGCCGGCCGCACGCGCAGCGGAGCGCGAACAAAAGGCACCGCCCCTGGAGCGGAAGGAATAAAAAACAAAAACAAAAGAAACAAACAACAACAAAAAACAGACACATCACAAAAACAACCACAAAAACCAAGAAATCTAACAACAAGAAAAACAAAAAACAAAACACCAGGGGAACAAATCAAGCAAAAAAGGCAAACATGCGGGTGCGAGGCCTCGAGGCAGAGCCAGCCTGATCCGCCAGGCGCACACTTGTCTGGGGTCGGTCGCCCAGGGTGTGTGCGCCGGGCGAGGCGAGCAGAGATCGTCGCCCCGGAGTGAAGCGGCAGATGGGAGCGGAGAGGCGGCGCGCATGAGCTGACCCACAGCAGGTCCGGCGCCCTTGTTGGAGCGAGAGGCTGTCGAGTCTGGTTTTTATCACTCGGATCACAGCTCCTCCTCCTGCTCATCCACCTCTTCCTCTCCCTCGGCCAGCAAGGAGGGGCGAGGAGGGGAGTTTGCAGGAGTGTGAGGGCATGGAGGGAGCTGAATGGAGAAGGCAGGGGGTAAGGGGCTGGAGAAGGGAACGAAGGAAGCCAGAGACGCAAGACAGACTATGGGATAAGTGTACAGAGGCGATTGGGGGAGTTGTCCCGGCAGCGGCAGCATGGATGGTGGGGGAAGGAGATGGGGGCAAGAGAAAGATCGAGGAGGAGGAGAGCAGAGGGAGGAGAGAAGATGCAAGATGAAAGGGAGAGGGATGGGGAGGGAGAGGGAGTATACATACATGTGCTGGTACTTCAACCGCTCGAACAGAGCGCTTCGGTTGCTGTCTCCTCCGAGGAGACTTTCAAACAACCAGAAGGGGGCCTTGGTATCTTGGGGCGTCTGGGGCTCCTCCGAGGCGCTCTTGAAGCCTTCTGGGAAAAACCTGGGAGGACTTCCCCCCTCGAAGGAAAACGGGGCACCACCTACCATTCTGTGCTACACTCGGGTGCAGGGGGCAAGAACCGTCCAAGACAGGCGTGAGTCGATGTTGCATCTGTAGCGGGCCAGCTTGGGGTGAAGGTTGTTTTTTCTGACTCTTCCTAGAGTAGCTGAGCGCTGTCTTGGGGCTTGCGTCTTGGGGGCTGTGAGGCTGATTGGGGAATGCTCCTGAAATCTTCTGGGGGCCTCTGGGGGTCCTACTGGTGCGTTGTGGGGACGTATTGGGCCCCGCCGAAGAGCCCCCACAACTATATGAAGGAAACAGCCGATGACAAACAACAGTGCAAAACTATGCGTTTTGCCGGAGTTGCATCTTGCGGTGTCTTGGGAGCGTCCTGGAATCATCTTCGAGCGTCCTGGGCCCTCCTGGTACGCCGTGGCGGCCCCAGCCGGGCTCCTGAGCCATCCTGGCAGCACCACGCTGCCGACACAGTCCCCGGAGGCCCGGCCTCGACGAGGGACGAGGACGAGGAGGAGGAGGAGGAGGAGGAGGAGGAGGAAGAGGAGGAGGAGGAGGAGGAAGAGGAGGAGGAGGAGGAGGAGGAGGAGGGGGAGGGCCCCAGGACCCCGGGCGAGAGTGGTCACCCGAGGGGGGCATCGGCGCATCGGCCTCGATATGGCGCGGCGCGGTGCCCGCTCGTGGAGGCGAAAAAGGGAGCTCGGGCGCCGCAGGCGAGGGCTGCGAGGGCGGGTCCCGAGCGGTGTCTTGTGGGCGCCCGAGCGAAGAGGGAGCCGGGCACGGGGCCTCGACCAAGGCCAGCGCGTGGCCTCTGCACCAGGGGCGGGGAGGGCGGGTTCCGAAAAAGAGAAGCCGGCACGGGGCCGCGACCAAGGCCAGCGCGTGGCCTCTGCACCAGGGGCGGGGAGGGCGGGTTCCGAGACAGAGCAAGCCTGCCCGTGGGCCCAGGCTCCCAAGGGTGCCCCAAGACGGCCCCAAGAGGTGCCCAGGAGGCCGCAAGATTATCCCAAGAGGCCCCAAGATGCCTCCCTGGAAACACAAAAGACGCCCCAAAACGCCTCGTCGAGAGAACACAAATCATGTCATTCAGTTTACGAAAACATGCGAGCCGCATTTTGGCCCCTTGGGGGGCGGCCCGATTGCCCAGTGTATCATGCAGAAGCGCGTCCTAGACTGGAGGAGCAGAAATCGGCGGTGGACAAGCCTCCCTTTCGCAAACCACCGTTTGGCGAAAATGGCCAAGGACGGAAAAGCCGACGGACCTGGACCCGCAAAAACGACGGCCGCGACGCCCCCTCGCGAAGCGAAAACGGCCAATTCGCTAATCGGCGCGTCAGGGTAGGAGGTCTATCAACCTCCGAAAATCATAGAGAAGCGCGTCTTACTAAACTAGACGAACAAAAACAAACAAAACAAAAACAGCATAAACATAAAACGTTTGGAGCTCCGCGCGGATTTCCTGGCCGCCGGGGGGGGGCCAGAGCCGATCGAGGAGATCCGCGCGGAGCTCCAAACGTTCATGCTTATGCGATGTTTGTTCTCGGACATACTCTTCGACGCGACTTCAACCTTCTGTTGCTCCCGTCGGACTTAAGGACCACATCCCAGAAATAATGTCGGCCACCCAAACGTTCATGTTTATGCGATGTTTGTTCTCGGACAAACTCTTCAACGCGACTTCAACCTTATGTTGCTCCCGTCGGACTGAAGGACCACGTCCCAGAAAGAATCTCGACCACCCAGAAAAGTGTCGAAGCAGTGTCGAGCGAGCATCGCCTCGCAGGGCCCAGCGCGTGAACATGCTTTTCAAATCTCGGTATTCTCTTGGTGCTCGAAATTCTTCCTGGTGGTCAAGGCTACAGTAGGCTGGAACATCATAGCTCTCCAGCTCAACTCCACTGACGTGCCTTCATGCTGCGCCGTTGCGCTGGCACGGAGGGGGGCGGGACTCGCCGCGGCCAGCTGCATACTGCCCGTGCGGCAGCCCAGCGCGGCTCGAGCCCGCAGGCCCTCGCCACCGACCCCTCGGCCGACGGGCCGCTCATAATCTCGGCCCCGCAGCACGATGTAGCTCACCCTCGCGCGGCTCGGACGTCGGGCCTGCCCAGCCAGTGAGGCACCTGCAGCTGATCGAGGCTGCTGTGAAGGGGCCCTGGGACACACAAAGAAGTACACACAAATACAAGGACTCCCCACATTTTCCCATATTTTCTGGCTTTTTGTTTTCCCCCCCACTTCCCACATTTTCCCATATTTTCCTGGGGATCGACGATTAATTGTGTCTGTGTGTTCCTTTCCCTCCTGACACTGGCACTGCGAGCGCTGGCGGCCGCCTCAGTCGGGCACCGCTCCACCCCACCCGGCGGCGCGAAGGACACCGAGCTGCCACCGAGAGAGACCTGCAGCAGCAGCGTGGCACAGGCGGTGAACTGCGTAGCAGGGGGGGCCGCCCGCCGGCGCCGGGAGCTGGCACTGGCCGTCGTCGTCCCGGCCACACGCCACGGCGGTGCCATCGCTCTGCAGAAGGACGGTGTGGCCTCCTCCGGCGGCCACCTGCGTGAAGGTCAGGCCTCGCGCCGGTGCTGGAAGGTCGCACTGGCCGACGAACCTCCTCTGGCCACACGCCACGGCAGTGCCATCGCTCTGGAGCAGAGCGGTGTGGAACGCTCCAGCGGCCACCTGCGTGAAGGTCAGGCCTGCCGCCGGCGTCGGGAGGTCGCTCTGGCCGTGCTCATTCAGGCCACACGCCACGGCGGCGCCATCGCTCTGCAGAAGAACGGTGTGGCCTCCTCCGGCGGCCACCTGCGTGAAGGTCAGGCCTTCTGCTGGTGCCGGAAGATCGCACTGGCCAAAGAATCTCTGACCACACGCGACGGCGGTGCCATCGCTGCGGAGCAGAACGGTGTGGAACGCTCCAGCGGCCACCTGCGTGAAGGTCAAGCCTTCCGCTGGCGCCGGAAGGTCGCACTGGCCGTCGTCATTCAGGCCACACGCCACGGCGGTGCCATCGCTCTGAAGCGCAACGGTGTGGCATCGTCCAGCGGCCACCTGCGTGAAAGTCAGACCTTCCTTCGGCGCCGGAAGGCCGCATTGGCCATCGCGATTCTGACCGCACGCGACGGCGGTGCCATCGCTCTGGAGCAGAGCTGTGTGGAACGCTCCGGCGGCCGCCTGCGTGAAGGTCCGCCCTGCCGCCGGCGCAGGAAGGTCGCACTGGCCGTCCTTATTGAAGCCGTACGCCGCGGCCGTGCCATCGCTCTGCAGCAGCACGGTGTGGCCTGCCCCAGCGGCGACCATCTGCGAGGGCTGCCCGCACGCACAGCTGCGGGGAGCTCGGGCTCGAGCCGGGGCGGCCGTGGGAGGCAGGCCGCGCTGGGGCCGTCGCTCAGAGCCTCCAGGCGAGGGCGAGGGACGACTGCCTCCTCCTCCTCCTCCTCCTCCTCCTCCACCTCCTCCTCCTCCTCCTCCTCCTCCTCCTCCTCCTCCTCCTCCTCCTCCTCCTCGTGGCTTCGACTTGCGGCAAACCTGCATCGCCATGACGTCGGCATCCGTCACGGACCCCCCGTGGAACGTTCAACCTCGAGCGATCACGCCTCTGCGACGGGGCAGGTCGCTGGCCCTCGGCCGATTCCGCGATTCTGGGCCTCTGGCGGCGTTCAACCCGGCACGCCCGCGCTGGGGTCATCGCCGCGGCAACGCGGCGCAAACCTACCGTAACGCAGAGGCTCCTTCGAAATCGCTCAATGTTAAAGAAGGCGGGCGCCCCGGGGGGGTGAGGGGTGGCACGGGCGAGAAGGCCGATGGCCTCCGTCATTTCGTGCCCTCCGCCCCCCATCGCCTCGACTCCCCACGTCCAGCTCGGCCTGGAAGACGCGCCAGCGCTGCTCCTCCACCGCTCCCTGAAGCCTCCTCCCGCATACATGCTCCATATTTCCTCCTCTTGCTGCTCCTCCACCCCCTCCTGCCTCCCTCCTCCTCCTCCTCCTCCTCCTCCCCACCACCACCACCACCACCATCATCCTCCTCCTCCTCCTCCTCCTCCTCCTCCTCCTCCTCCTCATCATCATCATCATCATCATCATTATTATCATCATTATCATCAGCAGCAGCATTAGCATCAGCATCAGCATCAGCATCAGCATCAGCATCAGCATCAGCATCATCATCATCATCATCATCATCATCATCATCATCATCATCATCATCATCATCATCATCATCATCATCATCATCATCATCATCATCATCATCGTCATCGTCATCGTCATCGTCATCGTCATCATCAGCAGCAGCAGCATCGTGATCATCCTCGTCAGCTTCATCCTCTTCCGCCTCATCCTCCTCCTCAGCATCATCATCACCAGCACCATCACCATCACTAAACATCACCACCACCATCATCATCATCATCATCATCATCAGCATCATCATCATCATCATCAGCATCATCATCATAATCAACATCATCGTCACTATCACCATCATCATCAGTATCGGAAGCGTAAGGCATCCTCATCACCATCAACAGCATCAGCATCATCTTTATCAGCATCAAGAGCATCATCAGCAGCAGCAGCGTCGCCACCACCACATTCATCATCACCAGCATCATCATCATCATCATCATCATCATCATCATCATCATGATCATCATCATCATCATCATCATCATCATCATCATCATCATCATCATCATCATCATCGTCAGCATCATCATCAACATCACCATCACCATCACCATCACCATCATCATCAGCATCATCATCATCATCATCGTCATCGTCATCGTCATCGTCATCATCATTGCATTTACCATGATCATCACCACTGCTACCATCATAATCATCACCACCACCACCGCCAACATCATCATGATCATAATCATAATCATCAGCAGCATCATCAGCATCAGCATCACCATCAACATCGTTTTTATCATCATCGATATCGTCACCATCACCATCACCATCATGATTCCGCCGGCTTCCGCCGGCGGAGGCGGCCTCGTTTCACTTCCGCCGACCTTCCTTTCGCCCTTCCGCCGAGGAAGAGATGACAATTCCCTCGATCCTTGAAGGCAGGGCTCTTTTTGGAACGCCCCTTTGATCGCCCCCCCATTACCCAAAAATTCGATGTCGTATTTTTGTTCATTCCCCGGGACCGGCTTCTCGTCCCGAGTCGTTTTTTAACGGTCCTGGGGCCCGGCGAGGGCCCCCAGAGGCCAAAACCTGAGATGAACCTCCGTCGAAGGATCTCTTTCTCGACGTTTGGGAGAAGTCGAGGTCTTGATTTTTCCGAGGCGTCGGATCTCCGGGCTCCCTGCGCAAGGCCCGAGGGCCCCTAGAGGCAAAAACCTGGGATAAACCTCCGTCGAAGGAGATCTTCTTCGACGTTTGGGAAAATCGAGGTCTTGTTTTTCCCGGGGGCCCAGGACACACAAATAAATACTCAGAAATAAACATACTCGCCATATTTTCCCATATGTTCTAGGTCCTTGTCTCCCCCCCCCCTGCCTATATTTTCGCATATCTTCCTGGGGATCGACGATTAATTGTGTCTGTGTGTTTTTTCCCCCTCCTGAGAGGCGTCGGATCTCTGGGCCCCCTGCGCGCGGCCCGAGGGCTGCTGGGCGCCGGCCGCGCTGCCGGCGCCGCGCGCCCCTCAGAAGTCGACGTCCTCCGCGGCCGCCGCCGCCGCGGCGGGCGCAGGGCCGCCGGCCTCCGCGCGCGGGGCCTGCCGGGGGGGGGGGCCTCCTCCCCCTCCTCCGCCTCCTCCTCCGCCTCCCTCTTCTCCTCTCCTCTCGTTTCTCCTCCTCCGCCTCCGCCTTCCTCCGCCTCTCCCCTCCTTCCTCCGCCTCCTCCTCCTCCTCCTCCTCCTCCTCCTCCTGCCTCCCTCCTACTCCTCCTCCTCCTCCTCCGCCCCTCCCTCCGCCTCTCCGCTCCTGCTCCTCCTCCTCCTCCTCCTCCGCCTCCTCCGCCTCCTCCTCCTCCTCCGCCTCCTCCTCCTCCTCCTCCTCCGCCTCCTCCTCGGCGCCGGCCACACGCCCAGAGATCCGACGTTGTTGACAAGATCAGCACGGAGGTGCTCCGCAGCTTTCGGCCTCCAGGGGCCCTCGCCGGGCCTGCAGGGACCCTCGCCGGGAGTTGCTCCAGGCCTCTCGATAAGCGTGGGGGGGGGGTGGATCGCGTGGGGGGGTGGGAGACCACTGTCCTTCGGGGTGCGTGGGGAGGTTGGGGAGCGAGGTGGGGTGGGTCTGGGGCGCGTGGGGGGGGCGGGCAAGGGGCGTCGGACAGGTTGGCACCAGGGGGTGCTTATTGAAGGATGTGGAGTGAGCTCGAGGGCCCAGAGATCCGACGCATGGGACAAGACCAATACAGAGGTTTTTCGCAGTTTTCGGCCTCCTGGGGCCCTCGCCTGGCCCAGGGACAGTCAACAACAACGACGCAGGACGAAAAACCGGTCCTGGGGACCCAGGACTCTGGAACCCACCCATTCGAATTCGATGCCCAATCTCCACCCATTCGCATGGACTTCCAGGGAGCCTAGGGATCCGATGTCGTGTTATTTTTTCCAGGCGGGGTCCTCAGAAGTCTCGACCCATTCCCCAGGACCGGCTCGGTCGTTTCTTGACGGCCCCGAGGCCCGGCGAGGGCCCCTGGGGCCGAAATTTGCAAAAAAAAAAAACAAAAAAAAAAAAAACGTCTTGATGTTTTCAGTGCGTTGGAGCTCCTGGGGAAGGGGTGGCGACTTCCAGGGACCGCGCCCCGAAAACATCACGGCATCGCATCTCTGGGCACGCCGACACCGGTCCTGGCCAGGCTTGTCCTGGCCCCAGGCTTCGAGTGGGGGATCGGCCACAGAATCGATGTACCTCGGCAGTGCTTTTTTTTCTCTCTCGGATCTCGAAATGATGCGTGGAGCGTTCCGTAGGTCCACGGAGCATCCTGCGTATTTTTCGTAGCTCGCACGAGAAGATCGCATTTTGGGGGTGAATCCATTCTGTAGTCGATCCCCTACTCGAAGGAGCGGAGTGCGCGCCCCGCTGGCTTGGCAGGGGGGCACCCCAGAGATCCAGCGCACTGAAACAATCAAGTCGGGTGCTTCTCGCAGCCTGCGGCCTCTGGGGGCCCTCGCCGGGCCCCGGGGCCGTCCAAAAGCGTCTCGGGATGACGGTCCTGGGGAAGGGGTCGGGACTCCCTGGGGGCCGCTGTGGAAAAGCATCGGGACGTCGCATGTCCGCGCCGGCCAGGGAAGCACACTGCATCGGGAGCCATTGGGTAGGATCCCAGAGTCTGGAAGCCATACCCCATACCAGTGAACACCGCCATCAAACATTCAGAAGCAGTTGCCGTGGAGACCTGGGCTGAGGGTGCTGACTTAGATCTTTCAGCTTAGGTCCAATGGAGGGGTCCGCACAACCTTCGACATCTCTGACTCAAACCACAGTATCACCGCCGCCCGCATCAGATGGATCACCCTCCAGGGTCTAAGGCCTCCTGCCGGTCGGGGAGACGCAGGACTCGTGCACGGGGGACGCCAGCTGGCCCGACGGGGCCAGCATGAAAGTGGCGAGACCCCGGCCTGAAATTTGACGCGAGCTCCCGCCGCAGGAGGAGGAGGAGGAGGAGGAGGAGGAGGAGGAGGAGGAGGAGGAGGAGGAGGGGGAGGAGGAGGAGGAGGAGGAGGAGGAGGAGGAGGAGGAGGAGGAGGAGGAGGAGGAGGAGGAGGAGGAGGAGGAGGAGGAGAGGAGGAGGGGGAGGAGGGGAGGAGGAGGAGGAGGAGGAGGAGGAGGACCCCACGAGCATCGGACCGCCAAAGTCCTGGGCGCGCTCCTCCCGAGGGCGGCACAGCCGAGCTCCCGCTTCCTCGAGCCCTACGTCTCCCCGATCCTGCACACCGGTCCTGGCCAGGCCCCGCCGCTGGGCCCAGAGAGATGATCGGCGCACATGCGCCCCGCCGGCTCTGGGGGCAGGAGGGCGCACGGCTCCCAGAGAGCCGACGTCGTGACTTTTTTCCACGCGCGGCCCCCGGAAGTCTCCACCCGTTCGAACTCGATGCCCAACCTACACCCATTCGAATGAACTTCCACGGGATTCAGAGAGAGCCGACGTCGTGACCGAAAGCTGCCACGGGATTCAGAGAGGCCGGCGAGGGCCCCTGGAGGCCGAAAGCTGCGAACAAAAACCCAGTCTGAGCTTTTCGATGCGTTGGATCTGGACAGCCAGGCAGAAGGATGAGGAGGAGGAGGAGGAGGAGGAGGAGGAGGAGGAGGAGGAGGAGGAGGAGGACGAGGAGGACGAGGACGAGGAGGAGGAGGAGGAGGACCGGCTTTTCGTCCTGAGTCGTTTTGTTGGCGGCCCCCGGGAGGCCCGGCGAGGACCCCTCGCTGGGCCGAACACTGCGAAAGGCCGGCGTCTTGACTTCCTCAGTGCGCTGCTGGACCGCTGGGGACGGCGTGCCACAGCGATCTCCGAGAAGCGCGCCGTGTGCGTAGAGGGATACGACCGAGGGGTCGATCCTATACTCAAGTCCGTAGGCAGAAGCAAGAGAGGAAGAGGTCAGCTGCTCCTTCTCCAGGGCGCTGCGCGGAGAGCAGCGCGGTATGTAGTATGTATACCGATACTGGAGCCGAAGGAAGCGTTTTGCAAAAGTGGGCGTTTATTTCAAAACGATTCGCACTCCCCCGCGTCGAACGCCCCCAACTTTGAAATTGGGGCCAGGGGCTGGACACGCTTCAACGAGAAATCCGCCGATCCGGCGTGTGAGTTTCAAGGAGTCTCAGCTACAGCCTCGAGGCTGAGCCTCAGCCTCTGGGGGGGTTGCAGGGGTGGCTCTGCCGGGGAAGGGGGGGTGGGGAGGGGGGGTGGGGGGGTGCGAGTTTCCGGCGGATGCGTTTTTTGACACCCCTCACAAGGATCGTGGCCTCCGAGGGGGTTCCGAACTCGAGTACCACCCCTCCCGCACCAAGAGGCTCCGAGGAGGCCTCCAAGAGGCCCCAAGGGGCGCAGAAGAGGCCCCCAAGAAGCCCCAAGAGGCTCCCAAGAGACCCCCAAGAGGCCCTCTAGTGGCCCCAAGAGGCCCAAGAGGCCCCCAAGAAGCCCCAAGAGGCGCCCAAGAGGCCCCCAGAAGTCCCAGCCAACCACGAGATCCCAACCAGCATCCATGAGGCCTCTGACCCACCACCCACGCACGGTGGCGGGATAGGCCGACGGCCACTGGATAAATGCTGAGTGAGAGGAGGGGAGGGAAAAAGAGAGGAGGGACGAGGGCGAAGAAGGATCACATCAGTCGGAGCGCCCGGGATCGGCGGCACTGGCCGAAGGCCACTACAATATACGGATGGGCGTTTTCTCCGAAAACCACGGTAATTATGAGCGGACTTCACACACGCGCCACCCCTGCGAGGCGGATCCCCCGCGGGGGCTCCCCTTCGGCGCACGCCTCCATCTCCCTTGCCAGGGCTCTCTCTCTGTCGGAGCACGCTGCCCCCCATGGGCGGGGGGGATGTAGCGTGCCGCGCGCCGGGCCGGCGCCGGCGCACCGCGCGCTGGCTTTCCAGCCTGCCACCGCATGCGCCTCCCCCCTCCCCCCTCCTCCTCCTCCTCCTCCTCCTCCTCCTCCTCCTCCTCCTCCTCCTCCTCCTCCTCCACGTCCTTCTCCTCCTCCTCCTCCTCCTCCTCCTCCTCCTCCTCCTCCGCCTCCACGCGCTGTTTCGACAAGAAAAAAAAACCCTGCCGAGGTACATCGATTCTGTGGCCGATCCCCCACTCGGAGCCTGGGCCCAGGACGAGCCTGGCCAGGACCGGCGTCGGCGTGCCCAGAGACGCGACGGCCTGATGCTTTCGAGGCGCGGTCCCCGGAAGTCGCCACCACTTCCCCAGGAGCTCCAACGCAGTGGATTTTTGTTTTTTGTTTTTTGTTCTCCTCCTCCTCCTCCTCCTCCTCCTCCTCCTGCCCAGCTGTCCAGATCCAACGCAAATGAAAAATCAAGGCGCTTGTTTTTGTCCCCACAGTTCGGCCCCTGGGGGCCCTCGCCGGGCCCCGGGGCCGCCCAAAGAGCGACTCAGGACGACGAAGCGGTCCTGGGGAATGCGTCGAGACTCCAGGGGACCCCGCATTGAAACGGATCACGACGTCGGATCTCTGGGTCGGTGCACCCGTGCAGTCCCAGACCCCCGGCGCCACGATCTCTTCGTGACGTGGGCCCCCCAGCGGTCTGGGCCCAATGTCCCCCCCAAGGGCCGGCTTTTCCTCCCGAGCCGTCGTCGGACGGTCCCGAGCCGTCGTCGGGGGCCCCGCCTGGAAAAGATCACGACGTCGGCTCCCTGGGGGGCCCGAGCCGTCGTCGGACGGTCCCGCGCCGTCGTCGGACGGTCCCGAGGGGCCCCCAGACGGCCGAGAGTATCGCAGCGCCTCCCGCCAGGAGTGTTTCATGACTCGCGGGGGTCGGGGGTCCCAGAAATCCGATGTCGTGATTTTTTTCCATCCGCGGTCCCTGGAAGTCTCGACCCATCCCCACGGACCGGCTCTTCATCCCGAGTCGTGCTTTGACGGTCCCTGGGCCCGGCGAGGGCCCCTGGAGGCTGGAAGCTGCGAACAAAAACCCAGTCTGAGCTTTTCGATGCCTTGGATCTGGACAGCTGGGCAGGAGGAGGAGGAGGAGGAGGAGGAGGACGTGGAGGAGGAGGAGGAGGAAGAGGAGGAGGAGGAGGAGGAGGAGAGGAGAAGGAGGAGGAGAAGGAGAAGGAGGAGGAGGAGGAGGAGGAGGAGGAGGAGGACGAGGAGGAGGAGGAGGACGAGGAGGAGGAGGAGGAGGAGGAGGATGGGGAGGAGGAGGAGGATGGGGGAGGAGGAGGAGGATGGGGGAGGAGGAGGAGGAGGAGGAGGAGGAGGAGGAGGAGGAGGAGGAGGAGGAGGAGGAGGAGGAGGAGGAGGAGGAGGAGGAGCCTGGGCAGCCGAGCCCGTGCGCGCCCCCTCCTGCAGGAGCGCCTCGTGCGGGGCGCCGCGGCGCCGGTGGTTCAGCATCGCGCGGCGGTGGGCCCGCGCCGCGCGGTGGCGCCGCCGGGCGCGGCGCCTCCGAGGCGGCGGGTCGTCCGGGGCTCCTGCTGTCGGGGGCAGCGTTCAGAGGGGGGGGACACAGTATCCGGCTTGACCTAAGGAGCGACAAATAAGTAACGAAGCCCCCTTTTTTCCAAGTGAATCTAGGAAGCCCGAAGGAACACCAGGGGCGGTCGCCGCAAAAAAGGTAGCGGAACGCATGCAAACCAAAGGAACGACCGAGCCCCTTTTTAAAAGTAAGTGTTCGAGCCCCTTTTTAAAAGTAAGTGTTCTTTATTCAAGCTGGACCCTGTAGGCTCGGGGGCCCAGAGATCCAAGGCATTTTCGGAGGAAAAATCCTGGAGGCCTCGCGCGGCAACTGGAGGCCCGATGTGCGTCGGATCCACGTCGGATTTACGTCGGGTTCACGTCGGACTGCGTCGGATCCACGTCGCAGTTGCGTCGGACTGACTCCGGAGCACCGCCGCGCAAGCGCCGACCCATAGCTTACGGAGCTGACGTGCGGACTAGATAATACTACTATTATTACGCGCCGCGCGAGGCCTCCAGGACTTTCCTCCTAACGTAAGAGGTTATTCGCACATTTCGGCCCCAGGGGCCCTCGCCGGGCCCCGGGGCCGTCAACAAAACTACTCCGGATGAAAGACTGGTCCTGGGGGATGGGTCGAGACTTCCGGGGACCGCGTATAAAACAAATCACGACATCGGATCTCCAGGGGGGGGATGCATCGACCCCCAATCGCCCATGGATCGCCGATAGGGGCCCGATAGCCCTATACCCCGCCCTCCTCCCCCAGGAACGTGCGTATTTGCCATCGGGGGCCTGTCCTATCCCCAATCTGTCGGCGATGCATCGCCGATTCACGGTCGATGCTCCCCCACTGAGCCAATCCCCCCCTAACGTTGCCCCTGATGCTGGCCCCCTGGGGACACTCGCGCGGGGCACCGACAGCATGGAGTGGGTGACGGCCTGGTCCTCCCTCGACATCCTGTCCCACGCCTTCTTCATGGCCCGGTCGACGGCGTCGGGGTCGTCCAGCCAGAGCATGTTCTTGTAGTCCTCCTGGAGTTCCTGCCGGCGGCGGCACAGGAGGGGATGGGGCGAACAGGGCGGCCCTCCCGAGAAGGGAGGCAAGGGAGGGTTCTCAGAAGCCCCCCCCATGCCTTGTCAGAAGCCCTCCCTCCCTCCTGAGAAGCACGCGCCCTCCCCCCCTCCGCACCCACACCCCTCCGCACCCCTCCGCCGCACGCATCCCCTCTCCGCCCCCTCTCGTCCTTCCCAAAGGCCCCCCCCTCCTCTG